ACTGTCGGCTGATACGAATGCCACAGGCAGCTAAAGCAGTTTAGTTTAAAGGCTTATATTTCTGCTATCATTCATTACGCTGCCATGCATCTCATCCCAGATTTAATTCCTATTCCTCTTCCCAACAATGTTATGCTTGTGGTAACAGATTACTTCCACAATATGTTTCACACAGGACTCACCAAGAGACTCATATTGCAAGTCAAAGCATTGCAGCAGCACAGGATTACCTTAAACCAATATTACTACCCATCCTATTGGATGACCATGCTACATCCATAGTAAGCTTGCCTGCTGTTTTAAGAAGCTGAAGTGCCAGGGAAAAAAAAGAGCTCAAAATAAACATAATTTTCAGATCATTCTTACATACAGTTACTAGCTATAGCTACTAGCTTGAAAGGTAATAAAGCACTGAGCCATCAAAGCAATCACTGAAAGACAGGCAAGAACAGCATAGATTTAAAGTGAAATAACTAGTTCTGTTATTAGCACTACAAGACATTTCTTGTAATTGCAGCCACATTTGAGGGAGAAAAAAAAAATAATCTGCTGCAGTACAGCCACAGTGAAAGTGCAAATACCTGTGCATATTGTAGAAATAAGGATATGAAGCAATTAGCACAGCAGTAGTGCAAGTGTGGAGGTGATATCAAATGCAGTAGATATAAATCTTTTGTTTGGTGTGAAGTGTTTTTCCTGGCAAGTGAACATGAGGGATAACTTGTTCAAGAACAGTAAGCTAAAGCAGAAGATAAAGTATTTGCAAAAACAGTTCACAGTCTTAAAGCAATCCTCTACAAAAGCAGAGCCAAAACACAGTCTCCCCTTACAGAGAAGGCCAAAGCCTAGATCCACCAAAACAAAGAACTGGACATACCTGTTTATTCTAATTTAAAGGAAAAAGGCCATAAAAAATACATCAGAAATAAAGCAGATGGTATGATTCCACAAGCATACGAAAAATAGTTTTAATTTTGATTAAATTTGAGTTTTTACCAGAAAGCAATACAAAGCATACTTCCTGCAGAATGGAAGCTTTCTTGAACTAAAAGAAACACCTATATAAGACATTCCACAAAAGAAACCTCAACCAACAGATAAAAGAAACCTCAATCAATAAATAATGATGCATTTACTTTTTAAAAAGTAGCCAAGATGTTATTTAAACTCTCATTTCTAAAAATATTTCAACAAGATGCACAGCCCTAACAAAAAAAAAAAGGTATCAACTCAGATGACTGGAGTTACCTGCACCTTCCCTTGAAAGGCCTTAAATTGCTGTGCCAGTCCTTACTTGTAACTTGTACTTCCCTTATGCCCCATCATTTACTACTTCTGTCCCCTGTATCCATTTCATGAAAGGTAGAGGCTTTATTTCACCTTACAGGTAAAGTTCAGGCAAACTGGTGATGTTAGCAGAACACAGACAGACCAGAGAAGAGAATTGAAGAGAATATGAAGCTAGACTAGACTTTTATAGCTCCACACCACCAAATCAATGCAAAGGAACAGATTTAACAAGTAACATTGTAATCAAAACGCACCACAAACAGCAGTGAAAATATCTGTTATTCATCTCTAAAATATCTTGAAATTTAAAACATTGCACAACCTGGCTGGTGGAGAGCAACCCTGAGCTTTTAGAGACCTACTCATAAACAGAATTTAGAATTAGGGTATTTTGTTGCTGTTAGTAAAGTAACAAAGATGCTACTTAGGACAAAACCTACCAGTGAGCACTGCTGTAAACAGAACTTGGCACATACTGCAAGGACACCTATAGAATCAAGCCATTCAGACAACTTCAAAGAGCATCTAGTTTTTAAAACTCTGCTCAGGATCATGTGAAAGCTGAGTCGTCAAGATTAAAACACATCTATAAGATGGACCTTAGGCATTTTAGGAATGTTAGTACTCAATCTAATACACACAAGATTACAATCTAAACAGCTTTTTAAAAATAAATGGAATAAATTTACAAAAATTCTAAATACAGCTTGAGTCTTCAAATTTTTAGATTTCAAGCAACAATCAAATATCTCCAGCAATTTCAATGAAATTTTATCACTACTTCTCTCTCAAACTCATTTTAAATTGAACATTTGACTTTGATTCATATTTTGTAGGTCACTAATTAACATAATAGGTTGAAAAAAACTTAATTCTTAAATCTATAAAGATATGAGTCTGCAAACGGCTTCTGACAAAACACACACACACACACTCTCCCCCAATATAACAAGAGAAGTTAGCCCCCTAGAACAGAGGTCCCCTACCTTCACTGATCCTCAAACATATGTACTATGCATACATATACACACACAGAAGACAACTGAGTAATATTTCTATCTTGGTGTTGTGGATATGAACAATCTGTTGCCTACAAGCCTCACATGGGGCAATCTGACTTAGAGGGATTACCTCTGGCTTGGTTTGCCATTTCTATGAATTAAGTGGATGAGGAAGCCTTCTAACAGCGATACTCAAGTGATGCTACAGCACAGATGTAAATACACAAATGCAAACATCAAATTTAGTATCAATATGATAGGACATCAAAACACACTTCTAGTCAAAGGGTCCACAGAAACAATATAGCACATCCTGACTTCTCTTTAGTTCATTCTTTTAACAGAATACTAAAAAGTTACAGATAAAAGACTCCACTTTTTCTTATATTTCAAAATTTGAAAAACAGTTTGAAAAGTAAAGTTTTCACAAAGTAGAATGATGAGCTTCCCCCTCGCTCTCCCCCACCCCCTTCTTTTAAAGACTACTAAGTTTTGGAACTACTACTTTAAAATATCATTTCCTCACATTGCTCCAGAAGCATGGCAACAGAGAAGGTTGGAGAAAAAAAAGTTACACCATATTCACCACTCTCGTGCCACTACTATTGCTCCAGCCATCAACTGATCATCTTTCAGACTCTGCAAGTTAAGACTAACTTGGAATTTTCAAATCTCTTAAGAATACTTTGCTGACTCAAAGTAGTTAATTTTTCACTTTGCAAGTTATTTCAACTGATAATGTTATGTTACAAAAGTTTTTACTGAAGAGTTTCAAAGTAGTAGAGAAAAAAAAAAGTCTGTAAGTACACTACTTCCATTCTCCTGACTACTCACTTTCTTGCCACTTTGTTTACACTTTCTCTCAGATAAGGGCTGCTCAGCTCAATAGGCACACTAAATACCAGTTCTCAATAAAGACTGGCCTCAACTACTATTAAACTGTAAACAAAGTTTTTCCCCTCAGCGGATTGTAACCGTATACACCGAGTTCCTTTATATTAGTTGCATTTCGCATAATACAGCTACAAATAAATTATATGCTATCTTAAATAGCTTTTATTCCAAGATAAGAATATACAGTGGAGCATAAAGTAATAACATAACCAACTTAAAAACAGAAGTCAGTCCCCTGCTGAATCCAACAGTCAGGATTGTTTCTCAAACCAGAAAGTGAAATGTCACAAAGCAGGAAACCAAAAGAAAGGAAATTGTTTTATTATTTGTGAGACATTAGTTTGTCAGATTTAATGGGTTATCACAGCTTCCTCATCAATAAACTAGCCCTCCCCATGGATTCTGGTTAAATCACATTCTTTCCATAAAGGCCATTACATCCTTTCTGAACACACACACAAGAACACTTTCTTCCTAACCAGGATCGCAACTTCAAAAAGACAGTGCAAGTATACAACTGTATCATACATACAGGTGTTATAAACAGGTGCCTTAAAAGCGGCAACACCACAAGAACACAAAGCACACGTGGGCACGAAGCAGCTACCAGAGATGCTCAAAAAGGCCACGAGCATGGTCAAAGTTAAACCCTTGTAATTATAAGTCTGCCTAGTTGTTAGATACTCAATTCTTACTTTAATCTTTCTCAAGTACACAGAGGAACAACGAGTGAACTACTGCTTATCCCCTCAGTTACACCTGGATATGTTTTCACAGCTCAGCCATGAGGGAAGATCAGCACAGAGGCTAGGCTACTGTTTGAAGAGTGGGCTTTAAAAAAAAAAAAAAAAAAAAAAAAGTGTGTATATATATATATATATATATATATATAACAAAAATAAAGGTTTCCCTAAGAGGGCAGATCATTGCAGAAACGACAAAAATAAGTAATTCTACGTACTGAAAAGTTCTCAAAAATAAAATATAAAAAGACTAAAGTGACTCCGGGTTTCTCCGGGCCCGTCCCGCGCCGCCAGCGGCCAGGGCGCCGGAGGACGGGGCGGAAAGGCGCGGGCAGAGCCGCCTTGGGGCGCGCTGCGCCCGCTCCCGCCGCGCAGGGCCCGCGGCGGGGCAGGTACCGCGGCGCGGGGGAGACGCTCCCGCCGCCGGGCCCGGCACTCGGCGCGGCCCACCCCGCTCCGCGTGCGCGGGACCCCCCCCCGCGCGGCCACGTGACGCGGGAGCCTCACGGCACGAGACCCTCCGGGACACCCACCCCCCCCGCTCCCGCGGGGCGGGGGGGGGGGAGCTGCGGTCGCCATGACAACTTAGAAGCGGGGGGAGGGAAAACTTCAAATCCCAACCGTCAGTGCAGGAGCGGCTCCCTCTTAAAGGCGCACGCACCTCGCGCGCACACACACACACACACGGCTTCCCTTCCCCCCGTCCCCGTCCCCTAGGCGCTGCCAGGGAGGGGGGAGGAGAAGGGGGCAGCCACCGCCACTCGCCGCGCAAGCGACGAGGAGCCGAAACAAAAGGGCCCGAGCCCAGGGCGGCTCCGGGTCGGCGGCGACCGTTGGGATGGAGGGGCAGCCCCCGCAGCCCCGCTCCGCGCGGCGGGGGCGGCGCGGGACCCGCGCTCTGCCCGCAGAGCCGCTCCCCGCTTACGGCAGGAGCCGCTGCTCCATCCCTCCGCCGCCCCGGGAGCCGCGGTGCCTCCCCGCGGAGCCGCCGCTCCCCGAGCCGCCGCGTCCCCCCAGGGCCCCGCTCCGGCACCCGCTGCTCCCCGCTCCGCCGCCGCCTCCCCGCTCTTACCCACACAGTGCATGAGCCGGTGCCGCCAGGAGTCGAGTTCGCGGCGGACTCCCCTGCGCTCCGCCGTGCAGCGGGGGCTCCGGCACTGCGAGGCGGCAGCGGCGGCGGGAGGAGCGGGCGCCGCGGCGGCCATTCTGTCTGTTCCCTTTTCCATCTGCCTCTGACCTCACGCCCGCTCATTTACATACGGGCGCGCGCGCCACCCAGCCCCGCCGCGCGCCCGCCCGCCATTGCTCCCTCCTCCTGCTCCTCCTCCTCCTCTCCCCCGGCCCCGCCGTGCGCGTGCACGAGCCGCCTCCCGCTCTCCCCCCCCAGCATCCGGGGCGGGGAGCGCGCGCCGCCTCGCGGGGCTCCGGACACGTGTCCCCCGCGGCAGCGGCGGCGGCCCGCGCGCTCCACCCCCCCGCGCGGCGTTAAAAACTTCGCCCAGAGCCGCTCCGTAAATGGGCGGAAAGCGCCGCCCCCCCATTCCCGAGCCTACAAGTCCCGTCGGGCAGCGCGGCGCCCGCCGCCCCGCGCCCAGCGCCGGCCTCAGCGGGGGATGCTGGGAGTTGTAGTCCGCTCCTCTGGGGGCGGGAGGCTCGTGCTGCCTCAGCCGCCCCTCGCCTGGCCCTGGGTCGCCCGGGCCTCACCTGCTCTCCTGGTGCCCTCCCGAGCCTCTTCCTCGTCACCTCCGACCCTCGCGGTGCTCTCTGCAGGGTGGCAGTTGGGACGCTCACCCGGCGGGATGTCCACATGGACACTATGAATTTACACATTGAAAGAAAACAAAGCAAATGCTTTTCCTCCCACAGTTATTCAAGAACTTGCCACGGGGCTTCAGGAAACGATACCTCATCTCTCCGGGAGCCAGCTCTTAACCGCTACAGCTGAGCAGGGCAGCTCCACCGCAGGCACGGCGCAAGTGCTGCTCCAGCTGCTCCAGAGGGGGTTCAAAGCTGTTCATGGCACCGCTCAGTTCACCAGAGCATTTTTTATGGTCATGCCATTTGCCTGCTTTTTGTGAGGATGACCTCGAGCCAAAGAAGGAGAGCAAGCGAGGAAGAGTGTCATGTGGAATGGGGCTATTCCCACCCCTGTTTGGACAGGGCTGGTGTGAAACCTAGAGGTTTCATGTCTTAGAAATGCTTCACCTGCACATGTGCATGAGAAAGCCTGCTGTCCACGCAGGCATTACTTCAGAAATAAAGTCACGTTAAGCTAACGGCGAGAAAGTTAACATGCAAGTGTCAAACCGGATTACCCGAACACTTGGCAGCCGTTGGGGCAGTTGCTCTCCCCGTGCCGCGCAGGCGGTCGCCCCCAGCGCTACCTCCAGGCTCCCGCACGAGACGCCGATCGGTACCACGCTAACGTGACGGCTGCCGCCCGTGCCGTGCAAGAGAGCAATTAGCAGCCTTGAATTCCCGAGACAGAAAATCAAGATCTCGCTGTTTTCTCTGATCCTGGTGCATCTTGGAGTGCTGCCTCCTGCTCTGCACCTCCTTCCTCAGGATATGCCTTGTTTCAGCCACCGTTTATCTGGGCTTATTTGTGCGCTGTGGTATAAACCAGGATTTAATAAGGCCATAAAAAGCAGGAGATGCCCCGATTTCCCTCCTTTCCCCCAGAATGTCAACCCCATCCAGACACACTCGTCCTGTGCTGTAGGGTAGGCCAATAGAGCCGTGGTGACACTGCATCACAAACACAAATGGATTTCAACTTGGAACAAAGAACTGGAAGTAATTCCCCACTGATCCTGCCCTCCACGTAGCTCCGGAGAAAGAAGGCGAAAGCAGAGGTAGAGCTATTGGGGAATGGAGCCCTTACAGCTTTTTAATGGAGTGTTTCAGGAGAACGATGAGATCAGAACTGCAGGCCGAACGACAGCCTATTGCTTCTCCCAGCTTTTCCTCAGAGCAGGCAGCAATAAACAGCAAGCAGCAGCTTGGCCGTCGCCCTCCTTCCTCTTGCTTCACCCCAGATCTGCTGTGAACATCTTGACATCTTTTTTTGCACTGAATTTCCAATCAGCAACACAACCCTTGGCCTCTCCTCAAAGAGAGGCAGCAAAACCCTGGAAAACTCTCCATAGCGCATGGTAAAAACCCACACAAAATAAAATGGTACCTTATTTGGATAAAACGCTTTAGTTTCAAACCAACATTGTTCCCTAAAGGAAAAGTTATAAAAACACATATACTTTTTGGTTACAAGATATGCTTAAAGAGTTATAGTGCACTTGCTTTTCACACAAACCTTTGCGGATACTTTGTTCAAGTTTCTTAAAGGTGATGTTGTGTGTGAAGGGCATATTCAGGGACTCCCTGTAGAGCACAGCCATGAAGATCCATTCTGCTTCCACTGGAATGAAAAAAAAATAGTTTTTTAGCACACATCTTTTGTAAAGAATTTTCAGTAAAATAAACACTGTTGCTTCTTTAAAACAAATTAAGTTTCTTGAAATCAACACACAGTATACTTTTAAATACTATCCATCCAACTGAATCACGTGCATTGAATGAATCAATTTCATAGGGACACAAAAATGTTCCTCTTTTAATGAGTTTTACTTTAAGATGCCTATGGTTAAATAAAGAGAATAAAAAGCTTTTGATTTTCATTTGGCACTCTTTTTGTTTTAGGATTCCTCACATTTGAGAGACTTGCTCCATGCATTGAAAAACAAATAAATAAATATGGTTAACCAAGCCGGGCACATTCAAGGGAAGAGAAGAAAAGGGAAGATAAGTCTTGAACTCAATTTAGTTGTGCAGATTTTGTGTTCCTGGGCTTCTGTAAAAACCTCCCAAATCTCAGACATGTGGACATTTTTCCCTTCCAAAGTCAGACAAATCCAGGCAAACCAAGGATTGTGCTCAGTCAAACCATTAGGGGAATAATTCCTAAATTATTACATGGCTTTCCTTCTTCTCTATTAAAATGATTCCCCAGCCCCAGTGCTTGATTGTACATTATTGGTACGCGATTTTATAGAGTGATTGCATTTACCTGAGCACGAGTCAGATCGAGGCTCCAAGACTGATCTATGGGAGAAGCTCGAGCAGTGGGAGCTAATTCTGAAACAGTTCATTTGAGCTGCCTGTCCTAGCTCGCTGGCATGGGATCCGAGTGTTAGTTACTTAGAAATGGTTCTGAGGGCATAGTCTGGAGTAATTTTGTTTGAAGCCACAAGAATTATTACTGGTGGTCTTTATGGTATGTTTCATCTCTTGTATTTTAATTTGGGGGTAAAGAGAAAATAAAATGCTCACAGAGGCTTATGGCTTGATACCACAACCCCATCAAAATTTGACATTTCGAATTAATTTTTTTAAACGCACATTGGGGAGATTTAACTATCTTATTGAAACATTGCAAAACTGTTCATCACCAAAACCTCTTTATAATTAATCCCCAAAGGTGAAATTCACTCCTGTACAGACAGCTTTGCACGGCTCTTTGTCACGTAAGTACTGCTTTGTGGAAACTGGGGGTGGGGATGAAATGTAATTAAAACAGCCTAAGTTGAACAGTCAAAGCCCTGCTGTAAGCCTTTTGCAGGCTGCTGTCTTGAAGGGAAACGATGAGCTCGCCCTCTCAAATGAAAGCAATCTGTACATCTAGAAATCCTCAGCATTCTCGTAAAATAAAAAGGGTTAAATGGCGAGTTGTTGGGTAGCTTTAATCATTCAGTATTGCAGAGGATTGTACATACTTGGAAGCTATGCCACAGCAGAAAATAAAAGGGTAAAAAAAATATTACTAGAAGAGGCTTTGGCATAGTCACTAACGTGATCATTTAGACACCGAATCTAGCCAGACCAAACAAGGGTTATTTAACAATCATTGCGAGTATTAGGTTGCCAATATGTGACTACTTAAACCTATTTGCAATATCCATTTTCCAATGACTTAGTCCATTATAAAGAATTCAAAGACACTCATGAGATATGCCACTTTCTTTAGTAAGGTCAAACAGAGGAAAAAGTGTGATTTTTAAGTAATCAATCAATCATACAATCTGTTTTATATTTTTTTTCTAAAATTGTCATTTTTTTCCCCCCTCATTGCTCATTGAGGTCTTAAGGGGCTTAATTCATAACTTGCACAGAAGGGGCACCAAGGAGCAAACCTTCCAGCTTTGTTCAGAGATTTAAATATGTTTATTCAAACTTTGAAGTCATATTTTGAATTCTCTTGGTCTTTCCTACAGTCACATGCATATTAAGGGTTTTTTTTAGCACTTGTATTCATATTTAAGTTGCTCTAGAGTTAGAATTGAGGTGTTAAAAAGGCAGACCTATTCAAAAGCAACAGGATTTTTCAGACACCATCTCATTCCCAGATTCAGGCTATGACGAATGGACAGCCAGTGCAGAGAGCGGCTTGGTGGGAGTCTGGCAAGATGCAGAAAAGCACAGGCTCACAAGCAAAAACGCCACGAGCAGCCCCTTCGACTGCTGCTCCACACTGCGAAACGCCGTGACTAAACAGCCCACGCAAGGCCACTCTGCCACCGTCACTGAGCGATGGCAGCCTCCAAAAGGGAGGCAAGAGTAGACAGTGAGGAACGGTAAATCCTTGCCACGACAGCTGGATTTGTGTAGTTTCAGGCATTACCTCTCCATCTACTATTTCACCTGCTGCAAAAAGATACTTCTTCTATTCTGAGTCTGATATACAGTCTGTACTTTTTTTCCCTCCCCTTAATCAAGGGGTAAAGTAACCTGCAGCAAAAGAAACTAAAGCAGCAGCTGAAGAGCAGTGCAACCAAAATGCCCCATTACAGGGGCTGCTCTTTATTTACTGCTCACCTGCCTGTGGGAAGCTCCTTTTTCTCTTGCTGTAAAATTCAAAATAATTTACAAACGATGATGCCCACATAGGCTGTAACTTAATATCATATATCTTGTGGGCAAAGGTAAAAATGGTACTAGTTTATATCAGAAATAACTCTCAGTTACAGAGAACAGATTTTAGAAATCTCTTCAGTGCTGTTAGATTTTGGTGCCTTTCAGCATGTATGCCCACCTATTTCCCTGCTCAGATTAGAACAAATAAAGCCAACATGAATACATAAGCACACATTAATATTTTTAGCCAAAAACATACCCTTGAGTCTCTAACTAGAGAAAAGTAACAGGAAATTCATGATGTTTCCCCTGAGCA